TAAGTAGCCTAAATGTCTAAGATTGTCTACCATTAGATTTTAAAATAAGTTCCCTTTGTGAAGTCTCTTCAACTTAAAAATTAAGTCAGATTTTTATAAAGGCTGTAAGAGTATCTGACAGATTTATTCAAATGCTCCATTGTTCCATTAAAATGTGCCCTTTTGTCTTGCTACAGTGAGTCCCAAATAACGAAGAGTGGCCATGATTGCTGACTATTATTTGCAATAAGTCGTATCTACTGAAATCAAACATGGAGATAATATACATTCCCTTTCTCCCTCCCTTCCTTCCTCCTTCCTTTCTCAGGGCTGGGGGTAGGTACTGTGCTGGGAGCTGAGGCCAGAATTTACAAGGCGCAGGTCCAGGCTGCAGATTTCCAGACAGGGAGGGGAGATGCAACATATACTCAAGTAACTGTTAAGTGGTATCATAAAAGAGAAATAAATATACTATAATTAAGAGAAGGAATGTGACCAAATCTAATACTTAACCCAGTATATTTATGAAATATAAATATATACAAATATTAAAAATGCATCATTCAGGAGTATCTAAGTGACATTCAAAAACTTACTTGCAACTGAAAACAACAGCAGAATTTATAAATTCAGTAGTTAAGATAGCCACATCAAATTCAACCTTTCAGTAATGGTCTTGATTTAATTTAGAATTCTGCTTTCCTTTCTGTCCAACACAATTATTTTCAAGGACAGACTGGGGAAACATCTTGACCTGGGTTAATTACATCACTTTTCTTTTAAGATTAAAAAGATATATTATGCCCTGGCTGGTGCGGCTCAGTGGATTGCACGATGGCCTGAAGGGTCGCTGGTTTGATTCCCAGTCAGAGCACATGCCTGGGTTGCAGGCCAGGTCCCCAGTAGCAGGTACCTGAGAGGCAACAACACATTGATGTTTCTCTCCCTCTTTCTCCCTCCCTTCCCCTCTGTCTAAAAATAAACAAAATCTTTAAAAATATATATATATTGTTTTCAAATATAAACTTTCTCCTGATTATAAAAGTAAATATGTTCACTACACAAATCCCAGAGAAAAAAAGGAGGTAAAAAATTAAATTCATTCCTAGTGCCTGCATTCCAGGACAAAACTGTTAATTTATGTTAATTAGAAAATACATACAATTTAATGAAAGCACAATCTTATAATGAATGTCTACACTTAGTTCAAAGAAAAGAAATCTGCTTGTCAAACAGAATAAAAACAAAGACGCTGAAATAGAGAACAAGTGGGCAGCGACCAGAGGGGAGAGGGAAGGGAACTTAAGGGGAAAAAGGGGGAGGGATTTTGAGGAACAAGTATGAAAGACACAGAGATGAGGACTGGGGGGGGGAATGGAAGGGAGGGGGGAGACCGGGCGGGGGGTGGGGTGGGATGGGAGAAATAGATTAAAAAAAAATGTACTTGAAAAGTAACTAAATAAAATTTAATATTAAAAAAAAACTGAAAACCCTGGTGCACTTTAAATAAAAGGCATGGCCCTCAGGCCCTTTGAAGTATGAGTCTAAAAAAATAAAAAAATAAAAAAAAAGAAATCTGCTTGTTAGGTACTTGTGAGTGTTCTTGGAAAACCTGGCAGATGTACACTGACATACAGAATCACAAAAAAAATCTGAGGGGAATGCCATGAATAAAAAAAGTTATAAACTAAAACTGTTCCTTCAGAATGTTGTACAACTGCTAAATTATGAAATTTTACCAGAATAAAATAAAATAAAATAAAATTCTGGCCTAGAATCCTTTCTCAAATTGCTCAAAACCCAAAAGTTAGTGTATAAAAAGTATATGGTATCCAAAAATTATTACTCTGGATAATGGGGCTTTACAGGAAAAGCGATAAACATGACATAAATGGTCATGGAAAAACATGATAAAAAAATAAAAAAGCTAACCAAATACTGGAGCACAGAGAAGGCCCCACAGCGTCCGCTGCAGAGCAGTGGTTGCCACGCCCACTTCCCCAGCACGCCTAGTGGCGCAGTGAGTTTTTCACGGTGCTCTACAGCCAAAAGTAACCGCGAGTGATTCTCTTAATTACACAGTTAGATCCAATTTAAAAAATATATATGTCCTAACAGTTTAGTAGCTATTTAAAAAACAATACCCATACACTGAAAGAACTATGTTTTTAGTTCATTCTTTACTAACCACAATAACTTAGTAATGGGATGGGCGCACCAGATGGGCGCTGTTCGGCTTCTCGAGTCTTGGTACAAGATCGACACCGCCACTCTCATTTCCTGTTCTGCACTGATTTTGGTGCGGTATTTGCTTTTTATCACAGCAGCCACAGAAAGCCTAACTTTCCCAAGATAGGCCATCATCAAAAAGAACATGGCAGGCTCTCATGCTGAAAGTGGGGACTCCCTGGAGCCAGGGGTTCGCACAGTGTCTGGCAGATTTCGAGTATCAGTTTCCTTTGGAAATTCAAAATAACTTCGTGTTGCCCTTGTGAGTTTGCTGTGGCACTCCAGGGCAACTGGCTTGGCATGGTTTGGTAATTGTGGCTGTAGGACAACCTATCCCATTGCCCTATTGTTACCACGAAACTGCTAGGAACTCCCGAATAAATAGGTGTCTTGGAAAGATTTGATGCCTCTGATGTGTAAGCTGCTGGCCCTCTCACCACAGAGTGCGCGAGTCCTAAATGGGACATGCAGGATACTTAGTATTCTGGAGACAAAAGGCCCTCCTCTCATGGAGTCCCACAGAAACACATGCTACTGGGTACTAGGTGGCTACAGAGACACTTTCAGACTGTTTACTCCGACCCACGCAAGTGCTTGGTGTAACAAATAATCCTGCAGTCTATCTTTATAACAAATACTCCCATAATTAAACACATAATCCACCAGGTGGCTAAATATCATTTGCAAATAGAGTAAAAAATATAGTACTGGGTTGGCCAAGAAGTTCGTTTAGTTTTTTCCCCTAAAATAAAAGACGCAGTTTTCATTTTCACCAACAACTCCATTGATCTGCATATTTTGAGTATGTCAGCTATCTCCCGTGTGGTATAACACTGACTTCTCAGTTAATGTCTCGATTTGATTGCTGTCAGCTCCAACTGGTCCACCTGCCTGTGGAGCACGGTCCAGCGAGAAACCTCCAGCACGAAACTTTGCAAACCACTTCTGACACAGTCGATCAGTCACAGACCTTCTCTAGACATGGCACAGATCTTTTTTCAGTTGTGATTGCAGTTGTGTTTTCACTTCTGTTTTTATCCTTCTTGAAATAATAATGCATAATATGCTAAAAATGTCATGGATTTTCTTCCATCTTTAACATTAAAATGGCTACACAAAAATTCACCAAATTTGATACGTTTTTTAAATGCACACTGGTATGAAAGCTGTCATGGTACAACTAAGCGCTACTAGAGCCGTCTCATGGAAAAGAATAAACGGACTTTTTGGCCAACCCAACACTTCCCACTAAGCTGTGCGGTTTTGCTTTCTGTGGTTTCAGTAACCTGAGGTCACCTTTGGTCTGAAAATATTAAATGAAAAATTCCAGGTAAAAATAATTTGTAAGTTTTAAATCGCACACTTTCTGAGTAGTGTGAAGAAATCCCTCACCTGGGACGTGAATCATCCCTTGGTCCCACATCCACGACACACATGCTGCCTGGCCATACTCACTGACTAGCCTTCTCTGCCATCAGGTCAACTGTCGTGGTACCTCATTTTACTTAATAATGGCCCCCAAACATAAGAGTAGTGATGCGGGCAATCTGAATGTGCCAAACAGATGCCAGAAAGAGGTTTAAGTGAAAAGTTACGTATGTGTAGGAAAAAACATAGTCTATCCAAGGTTTGGTACTATCTGGACTTTCAGGCGTTCACTGCGGGTCTTGGAACGTACTCCCCGGACAAGGTGGGACTGCTGTGTGCATCGTCAACAATCTCTGTTAAAGTAAAAGAAGAAGCAATCCCAGAGCCCTCTTGGTTTACAGAATAATCTGTCATAGTAATTTTACAAAGACTCTCTGGTAGGCAGGATAATGTCCCCCCAATTCCCACTCCAAAATATACTCATGTCTTAGTCCCTGGAACCTGTGAATATGTTACCTTACGTGGCTACCAATGGGATTAAGGTTACTAATCAGTTGACTCTAAAATTGGGATACTATCCTAGATTATCTAAATGGGCTCAAAGCAATTATAAGGATCCTTCACTGTGGAAGAGGGAGACCACATGTGAGAGTTCAGAGGAAGATCTGACCTTGGAAGGAAGATGCAGATGGTGCAATGTGAGAAGGTTGTAACAGGCTGTTTTGGGCTTTAAAGATGGAGGAAGGGACCCACAAGCCAAGGAATGTGGGCATCCTTTAGAAGACAGGAAAGGCAAGGAAATGGATCCATCCCAAGTCTGCCCACACTCTCATTTTAGCCTAGTGAGACCCATGTTGGACTTCTAATGCACAGAAATATAAGGTGATAAATTTGTGTCCTTTTAAGCCACTACCTTTGTGGTGACTTGTTACAGCAGCCAGAGAAAACTCATATAGACCCCCAATGATATCTGTAACAGCATGAAAAATAGCAACTATAGATGCTTCGGGTCAATTGGATGAGCTAGGTAAGACACTTTACTGAGTGTGCTACAAACATCATAGCTTTTTGCCTGTGTTCACTACCCTTTCTGTTGCACAATGATATGATAGCTATGAAGAAGAAAAATGTTTCTGTATTATGCTTCAATATGAAATTTAAAAGCATGTAAGACTTTCCATGCTTTATAAGCTTAGGTTAAAAATTATACATCTTTTTTTTTATATGTAAAATACCAGTGAAAATATTTGGTTATTTATTGAGGTTTTTTTTTTAACGGGATGATGATTTGATGGCTGGACAAGGGGAGACCTTTTTGTATACTTAACAATTACTTACAAAAGCAAGAAAAAGCCTTATTGTCAGAGTATACATACTTCTAGGAACTAAAAATACTTATTCAAAGTTCTAAAGTCTGTGTTCACCTGTGGTTAAAGGCAGGTGTGTGATGCTGTTCAAACAGGTCAGGGTAAACCACGTGGATGACAGAGTAGCCCCAGAAAACAGGAGGAGAAGAATTAGTTTCAGCATACCCCTGATAAAATCTGCAAACCTAAAAAAGAAACAACATTCTATTAATTCTAGCTGGATTTTAAAAATACTATTTAAGTCAGTGATACACTTTCATTTAATAAAATTAAATGAGAAATTAAATTTCTCAAAATTCCATACATTCTTTTAAAAGCAAATTAAAAAAAATTTTAAATCGATACATTTTGCATGTGTGATAAATGTTACTTTGTGATAAATGTTTTTTTCTCTTACAAAACACACAAAAGGTGATCTCTCTTCGGAATCTATAACTTACAGGGTGCATTCTCAGCTTTTAAATGCCGCTTTTTCTTTATCTTTTTCTATAATTGCTCAACATCCCGTAATGAGTGCACATTGTTCTAGTTTTAAAAACAGGCTAACTGGTTGACACAAATTTGCAGAGATGGCTCTCCCAAAATTCAAATTCAGAGAATGAATGGTTGCACGAGTCTTTGGGTCCTATGTGATCTGGTCTCTGCCTCCATCCTCCCTTTGCCTTACTGTGCTCCAGCTGGACCGCCCTGCTTCTGTTCCTCATACGTGCTGGGCTCTTCCCACGGCATGTGCTTGTCCTGTCTGCCTGGAATGCTGGCGCTTCCTCCTGCTTGTTCCTCAGGTCATTCTGGTCTCAGTTCAACAAGGCTCTCCATGCTCCCTGAGAAACCCCCTCCATCCCACTGCTTGATTGTCTTCACAGTATTTATCTCTGTTGGAATATTTTTGTTTAGTTTATTTTCTGTCTTCCCTATTGGACTGTAAGCTTCACGAAAGCAAGAGCATAGCTTTGGGAATAGTGAATACAATTCTTCAAACCTTGTGTTCCATAGCATTTTAAGTTCTTAAAAATCCCTGCTTTTTTCCCCCTGAATTAATATGAAACTAAAAAGCACCTGGTAGAGATGCTCATCATTTAGTTATGAAGAAAAAATTTTCCTTTTGCCAATTGCTTTTCCTCTTCTGCTGCCTAACGGTTGATGGTAAAGGCACAACCGTCTGGCTGTGCCTGCAAACAACTTACTCCGTCCTTCAACTTGTTCCTATTGCAGAACAGATCCCACCCCAAATATGACATTTACCATGTTCTCTTGTTTTAAAATGATTTTACTTTCTTTTTTTTTAATTTTAATTTTTATTTATTTATCTTTAGAAGGGAAGGGAAGGAGAGAAGGAGAGAAATATCAATGTATGGTTGCTTCTGGTGCATCCCTTGCTGGGAACTGGCCCCTGCTGGCAGCTGGCCTGCAACCCAGGCATGTGCCCTGACGGGGAATCGAACTGCGATCTTTTGGTTCGCAGGCCCATGCTCAATCCACTGAGCTATACCAGCCAGGGCTGATTTTACTTTCTATTGGAATTATGTGGCTGTCCCTGTCAACACTCTCAATACTTGCTTTCATTTTGCTTATCTGACGTGATGTGGTTAATCACATTTGTAAGCACCCTCTGGACTAAAATGACTGCCTGTGAGTGCTGATGCCACCTTTTGGTGGGAAAAATGGGGGCAACTTTGCCCAGTGACAGGTTTGTTCTCAACTAGGAAAGTTCACAGACAGAAAATTATTTTGAAAAAGATTCCACAGCTTGATAGCAACATCCCTCAAGAAAACCTAAAAAGTTTGTCTTAATTCCATGTTCACCATATACTTTTACGATCTATATTTTTGGTATGCTGCCTGAACTTACTTGCCAGGTAGGCAGATGGCCAGGTATGAGAGAATAAGACAGTTTCTGGTACAATCAGAGCCGAGTGAAGTGGAACAGGGAGACAGTTTCACAGGGCCAGATCACCAAGAATAAACGGACCACTGGGATCTGCTCTTTTTGGAGACCTAGTCTGTTCAAATGGGCTAATAACATCAAAGTGTATTGTTAGGACCAGTAGGACATTTAGTAGTGGCCTTTGGCAGCATAATATCATAAAAAATCATCTGAAGTGCTCAGGTCTATAAGGAGATTGCATTCTAGAATGCAATTACACCAAATGGCGTTATAAATGTAATTTTATGATTTACTTAAGGCCTAGGAGATACCTACAATTGACTTCAAATCCCAGTGTAAAGATAATAGTTTTTAGAACTTCCATTTCAACAAATTAAAAAGAGAAATGTCCTCATGTTAATTTTTCCATCTAGTTCTATTTCTGCGTAGCAAAGATTTATAGAAAGAAAATAAAGAGAAAGGAGAATGTGAGATGTCATTTCTGATATATAGTGGTTCCCTCCAACCTATTTGGTGCTCAGAATAGAATTTGGTAAATGATGACTCATTCTAATTGTCTTGGACATTTAATTACAATAATTGGGCATGGTTTTTGTTAAATGTGACAGGTCAATGCATTTTGGTAACAATATAGTGATTTGCTGTAGCTATCTTCCTATTCCTCTTCTTTAGCTTTTAGATTTTATTCTTATATTTTATTAACTTATAAAACCCTCAAAATAATTTAGAAATTACAGTGTCAATTTATTCTTTCATTATCCCGGAAACACTATGCAAACTTTAAGATCTAGATATAACAATATCCTGTGTCGGTCATGCTTAAGTGTTTAGATACTGAGGTGACTTACACCTGCCTTATTTCATCTCTCCAAATATGTAATTAGATTCTTCCTCTCCTGGTAAAGCTAGCTGCCTGATTTTGCGTTCAATTAAATTGGTAAAATTATTTAGGAAGTGAGTATCATCTCTTTGGAAAGACCAAGAGTAGTTTTATAGGTAGCCACATGCAGGAGTGACATTCATTCTTTTCTTTTTTTTAGAATGAAACTTTTTCCTTCTTCTGCCTCATTCTAAAACTGTGTTACCATAATGTGTCAGATCACAGGCAGTTTGATGAAACTGTACGTCTTTGTGGATATTTTTCTACCAGAATGGAATAACAATTTAGACACACCTGCCGAAAAAACCAGAAATAAATATCTGCTAATCAGGGTTTGGCCTTTTCATGAAAAATCCTAGACATGCTCTTACAAATGATTCTTTTCAATTCTTTCCTGTTCTCGATAACTATCAATTTGCATTTATTACTGTGAAACCTTTTTTTGGGTTCCATTTGTAGATGTTGTTCTCTAGCAAAGTGGACAGAGGCAGTTTAAATAAATACACTGGAAAAAGGTCTCCAGCCTACAAAGACATTTCAGCACCAACTACTCTTGAGAAGGCTTCTTGTGGCAGCAAATTCTATCCACTGCACGTCAATTTTCTCACAGCCCGAACAAGGACCTTGGCCTATTTTACTTTTCCTTGAAATCTGACATTTATTTAGAAAAGCCAATAGTCCCTTTGGGAATTTTGTTTGTTTCTGGCCATGTTGAACATAAAATATTTTTACCTTGCCATGGCTATTCCGACAACACAGCCTCCAACTATTGACCAAAATCCAATCCAGCCAGCATCTACCTGTTAAGAGAGCAGTAGACACATTTAATACAAAACGATCATGTTGTAATTTAGGAGGCATGAAAAAAATCCTCTATAATCAATATGTTAATAGCTAAATGGCAACAAATCTAGGAAACACCATTTAAGAAAATGAATCAAATGAAAGGATTCATGTGTGACTAATATGAATATCTCATTAATATATCTTTAACCTATTGAAATATTTATATCAACAAAATAATCAATGTCACAACAAATATTTTTCAAATATGTTCTACATGCCTAGCATTATAATAGGAACTCAAGAAAACATGAAAATGACAAATGATGGTCACTGACCTCAAACAGTTTAAATATAGCCAACATACTAGGAAATACATCCAGCAACAGCTAGTGATGTATTAACAGAACACATAAGGGATGAGAGGGTAAATATAGGGTAAATATAAATAAATATTGACTGTGTAAACAATAATGATAATGCCTGTATTATGTAAAATACCTGACAATAATAGCACAAAAATGCTAGACAGTTAAATGGAGTTAAAGGGTTCTAAAAACTTTTTAGACTATTTCAATAACGCAAAAATCAACTATACTCCTATATGCCAGCCAAGAGGAAACATAATTTTTAAAATTACCAGTTATAATAGCTTCAAAAAGTATCAGATATGTGGGAATAAATCTAACAAGTATATAGATGGCATCTTTGCAGAAGATCACAAAGCATCACTTCGGAGACATTAGGGACTAAGCAAATGAAGGAAATAGAATAATCTTGGTTTGGAAGACACGGTATTAAAAAGATGTTAATTCTCACACTGATGTATAAATTTAAAATTTTTCTTCATTGAAATCTGAGTAAAAAGGGGTATTATTCTACTGAATACCCAAACTTACAACATTAGAAAACTTAAGACAATTTGGTACTGGCACAAAGAGAGACAAACAGGCTAGAGGGGGAAATGGGTTAGAACCCATTTGTGCACACGAGGGCTCTTCACAATGACAAGGGTGACACTGGAGAGCGATGGGGAAAGCCTGATCTTCACAAAAGCTGCTATAGGTTAACGGGTGTTTACATTGGGGAGAAATTAACTCCTACCATGTGACAAGGTTTCCAATTGTAGGTCTAAATATGACAGGAATGACAGTAAAGCTAGAACAGCACTATCCAACAGAACTTTCTGTGAAGTTAGAAATGAAATATATCTACACTGATCAATATGGTAGCCACAAATCACAAGTGGCTTGAAAAGCAGCTAGTGCTATTGAAGAAGTGAATTTTTAATTTCTATTTCAACTTTTTAAAATGTGAAATTAAATAGCCATATGTTGCTAGTGGCTACTGCACTGGACAATGTAGTTCTACAAGATATCATAGGTGAAATACATTTATGAACTTGGAACAAAGATCTCTCTCTCTCTCTCATTATAGTCTGTCTGCTAACTCCAACAACTAGACTGCCTCCAAGTTGGTTTCTATTGACTACGTTATTTGTTTTGTTTTTTAAAATATGGCTCAAATTTTCCTGTTTCTTTGCATGTCTTATGTTTAGGTGGTTTTTTTTCTTTATGTATAGTATATATCATGGACAACACAGTATAAAGGTTCTGGATAATTTCATTTTTCTTTAAAATAGTTAATTTTTATGTTAGTAGGCAGTTTGATTACTAAACGAACTTGTGTGGGCTGATTTTGTGTTTTATTATGGCAGAGAGGTAGAGACCAAGTTGTTTCCCAAGAGCCTCTCGCTTGGCAGGAGTCAATCGCCAAACTGTCTCCTCTGCAGGTTTTTGTTGGGGCTTGTTTGTAGGCTTTGTTTACTGGGTATAAGTAGGGTAGGTCTTCCTCTTTCTAGGGCGTGGTCCCATATTCTATAGTTTGGCCTTTCTGGTGTCTCCACAGAACCCCAAGGTGTTAATGAGGTCTTCCCACTCTGGCTGGGCCGGAGCTCCAAGCGCCCAGCATTGCTTGCCCTCTACGGTGTTTGTTCTGCTTTCAAACCTACAGCAGCCTCTCTGTCAAACCTCTGGTAGTTTTGCCCTTTACAGGTGCAGTGCACCTGTCACTTGCTGAGGACCCCACACCCCACACAGTCTTCTGGGGACCCCTTCTGCACGGCTCTCTTCTTTACAAATCAGTAAGAAAAAGAAGCCCAATAGGGGGCAAAAGATATGAATGGGTGTGTCACAAAAAATGAATATTCAAATATCTAACAAACACTTAAAAAGATATCACTGCAATGGTGTACAACTGCACAGCCATCAGCATGTCTCATTTTAAAAAGGCCAACTTTGTCAAGTGCTGGGAATGATGTGGAACAATGAGAAATTTCAGGTACTGCAAGTGGGCCTGTAAGCTGATACAACCATCGGGCAGATGTTTAGCATCACCTAGCAAACCAGGTATGCACTATAACCAGCAATTCCATTGCCAGCTACATATCCAACAGAAATGCGTACAGAGGGGCATCAAGAAGCATGCACGAGAAGGGTTACACAGCACTGTCTGCGCCAGTCAGGGCTGTAAACAAGTGAAATGCTCACCAAAAGCAAAACGGAGAATTTGTTTCCTATTCATACAGTGGACTATCAGACCAGTGTGCCGTATTTCTAGCATGTGCCCCTAAATCTCTGCCCCTCTCCATCATACTGTCTGGAGGCAAGAGGAAGCAATGAACGGCATTGAGAATACAGGTGAAATGGCTATTTTGAAAGACATGAGGTATTTTCATCCTGAGACTGGAGAGACGGTAAGAACTTAGATGTAGGAATAGCCATATATTCTATGATGGGATCTTAATATTTATACAGTATAAAGCAAGAAAAAAATGGAGCCAATAAAACTTAAGTTTTTTTCCTAATTTTTCTGTAATTAGCACCAATAATAACACCCAAATAAATGTGAAATTTGTAACTTAACAAAATCTAGGAAGAAAAATCAATATTGTTTATAACTATTTTATATGGACCTTGCTTTTGCAATAATGGTATAGAATAATGTTTTGCCCAGGCCTTGAAGCTGAAACCAAGAACATGTAAGACACCCACAACATAAAAAGAAATAAAATGCTTACCTGGCTGACATGCACTGGTGTTAAAATTAAGTCCAGAACTCCGGACCAGCCGGCAAATACACCAAGTGGTATGGCATATGCTAAAGCGATCATCAAAAATCTCAAATTGCTGTAAGAGATACGGAGAAGAAAACATTACAGGTTCAAACTCTAGAATTTAAACTCTCACTCACGAAAACAGTCATTTGAAAATTGGAACATAGGAATCAGATCTAAAAAACATTTATCAGTTTGTTAATAAATTCAAAGTTCTTTAAATTTTTTACTTTTAGAAGAATAGTCTTTTTTGTCCATATTGTTTAAAATTGTCAATGTTTATTACATAGATGAATTACTAACATTATTTCATAGAATGAGTACATAGGTTCAGTTCTTATTGAAAGCATAAATTATAGTTGCTTAGGTGGGTACTAGACTTATCAGGTGATCACTTTGTAAGTTATATAAATGCCTAATCACTATGTTGTATACCTGAAATAAAATATTGTTATGTCAACTATAATTGAAAAATAAAACATTCAAATGTTAAAAAATGATGGTTTCTCCTCAAACAAGATAGAGAAAAAATGATTAAAAACAAATACATAATTTGTTAGTTTTACCATTTTCAGAGTGCATTTTAACTTTTATTATCATTTGTCTTACTATTATTTTTGTTTTATACTTATTTCACAGGCAATACAATTCATAAGGCTGAAAAACATACAGGTATAAAATAGGGGGAAACCCTCTCCCTGGAACCCTTTCTTCCCTCTTCCCACAATTACCGACGTTACCACGTTCTTGGATAACTTCCTAGAAATAGTTCATAGTACAGGAGCCAATACAGATATGTATGAATATGCCCCCACTCTTTTACATAAATGACAGCATATGACAACCATTTGCTGAACTTTACTTTTTCAACCTAAGTCTTAAAGCTCCTCTACAGTCAATACACAGAGCTTCCTCATTCTTCCTTACAGTTGCACAGTTTTCCATTATGTCAGTATATCATAATTTATTTAACCAGCCCTGCTGAGATATAGATATATAATTTTATATATTTTATATCATATATAGTTTACACATTTATATATCATATAATTTTATTCCTTTGCTCTTACAGGCAAAGGAATGCATGTGAATACAGGTTAAATAGACGTACACTAGCCCAAGGGGAAGATCAATTTCTAGAAGTGCATCTGCTATATCACTGAGTATGTACATTTGTAACTTTAATACAGAATGCGAATTGCCCTCTACAGAAATTGTACCTCTATGTACCTATCAAAATGGCTAAAATACAAGCACAGTGATAACACCAATGTCTGGTGAGGACGCACAGAAACTGGAAAACTTGTGTGCTGTTCATGGTAATGAAAAATGGTACAGCCGCTCTGAAAAATGGCATTTTTTAAAAAATGAAAATATGTAATTACCATCTAATTTAGCAATTTATTCCTGGGCATTTATTCCAGAGAAATAAAAACTTATGTTTATACAAAAACCTGTATACAAATATTTATAGCAGCTTTATTTGTAATAGCCAAGAAAAGCAGAAACAACTCAGATGTCCCTCAACAGTTAAATAAACTGTGTACATGAATACTGTGGAGTCCTATTCAGCAATAAAAAGAAATAAAAACTGACACACAAAACCTGGATGATTCTCCAGGGAGTTACACTGAGTGAAAAAGCCAACCCCGAAATTTGTGTACTACGTGATTCCAGTTATATAACATTGTTGAAGTGACAACATTACAGTAATGAGCCCTAAAGAGCTTCGCCAGGGGTTAAGGAGTGGTGGGAGGGAAGTGGGTGTGGCTGCAGAAGGCAGCTGGAGTGATCCTTGTGGCCATAACAATGTTCTGTCTTGAAGGTGTCAATGCCAATACCCTGGCTGTGAGGCTGTACTGCTGCTGTGTAAGGTGTTATCACTGGGGAAACTGGAGGAAAGGTCCATGTTTTCTCTCTGTTTGTGAACCTATAATTATCTCCCAATAAAAAGTTTAATTTTCTCCCTCTTTTTTATTGTTGTTCAAGGACAGTTGTCTCCATTTTCTCCCCACCACCCACCCTCCATCTGACCCCCCTTTGGCTTTGTCCATGTGTCCTTTATACATGTTCCTTAACAACCCTTCCCTTCCCCCCAAAAGTTTAACTTTTAAAATATAACTAAAAGTAGATATTTTTCACAATAGCTACTAACAGTTTTTTAAACTATAAAGTAATAATAAACTGCAAAGGCCCAAGAGCTGGGTTGGGGAGCAGCGGAAGAAGCCAGTCAGTGCTGTCGACTGACCCCAAACTCGTCTGCACGTTCAACACAGGCACAGTTAAACTTTCAGCCAAATCTTTTAGAAACTCAAGAACTGTGTTTTAAAGTTTATATGGAAGAATAAAAGTCCTTGGAAAGCAAACATGTCCTTAAAAAAATATGAAAACAGAGGCCACTGCCCTATCAGATATTTGGACAAACCACCGTACACAGCCGAAGTAACAAAAACATATGGGACTGGCTCAAGAACAAAGAGAACGATGGGGGAAAGTAGACACAGAAACTCAATCTCCACCGAAGGTGGCACTACAAATGAAAGGGCTAGGAAACCTGTGGCAAATGGTGCTAGTTCATTTTACGGAGAAAACCCCCCAGAGAAACCCTGCACCACCAGTTAACACCACATAGAAGGGGTAGGTTGAAAACCTAAAAGAGAAAGAGAAAATCAGAAAATTGATAACTAAGGAATTCATGGACAAAAATTAGTAGGCAGAACAGAAATAAATATTTGAACATTAAAAATTTTAAATCAACAAGGAATTTATACCTAGAATATATATATCATTAAGAATATGACAGCAACTACTATTAATAAGTGGGCAGGAACTAAGAGGAATTTATAATAGATGAAACCTAAAAAGCAAACAATTACATGATAAGAGTCTCAAACTTATTAATAACCAGGAAATGCAAATTAAAGACTTTAGTTTATACCTACTCTACTAGCAAAAATGAGAAAGATGGATAATACCACGTTTGCTGGGCACACAGGGTAAAGGCACTGCTGGTAGGCGCAGGCGTTTTTTGGAGAACAGTCTAGCAATATCTGGCAACTCAGGCTCAACCCATCTATGATCCAGCAATCCTATTGTGGGGTGTGTTTTCCAAAGAAATTCTCAGATCTACTGTGATGCCTATGAGGATGTCACTGCAGCAGTATTGCGGGGACAATGAATTGGAGGCAATTTGGGTCCACAGGGGGAGTGGGTTGATAAAACGTGATGATTTCATCCCATGGATTACAAAGAACTAGTTGTATTCAATCTTGAAAACAGGGTGCTAATATCACAAAAATGAATTATCCACAAACCATATGCCTCCTGATGGAAGAAGAAAGCATCACTTATGAAGTAGTCATATAAAACCAAAACCAAAGCAAAAGCAAAAACATGAATCGCAACCTAGCTTTAGCTAACAATTTATAGGCGATATAAAGGGCAGAGACACACGGCAAACTATACTAGAAAGAGGCAATCAACCAAATCTCAACATTGGAGACAAAAGAGTTGGCTCCCCAACAAATAAATGACCAAGAAAAAAGTGAGGTAGAAAGGAAACCTATAGGTGATGATAACCAATAGATTCATACAACTGCATTGTGTGAATCTAATTTGGGCCTAATCCAAACAGTTTTAAAAAAATTATGACATTTATGAGACAACTGAAAATGTAGACAGTGATATGATATTAGCAAACTACTGTCCAGAAGTTTTTTAGGTGTCACGATGGCACTACATTTATGTTAAAGAGTCCCTATCCTTTTAATGTATATTACACATATTGAAATATTTATGGATGAAATGATTTGTCATCTGGATTCATGACCCTGGACATGAACAGAGGTGTGGGGATTAGTGGGGGGTGCTAGCTGGAGGAGGACAAAGGTAAAAAAAATGGGGACAACTGTAATAGCACAATCAATAAAATATAATTTAAACTAATAGATAAAGGGAGAGAATGTTGACATTTGGCTACACAGGTTAAATGCGTATGAAGATAAAGGCATCATACGAACAGTAAATAATTGTGGTGGTAACTCTGGCAAGCAACTATTGACTATTTCTCCCCAGAAAATATAATTGGTCTAGAAAGGAAATTATTCCAATTAATCCATAAAGTAACGAGTAGTCAGGGGTTCTTTGAAGGACAAGAGAAAATTGCATTGGTAGGCTAGGGAATAGAGCATGGTGGCCTCAAAGAACTCACCTGGCAAGCCCCAGAGCAGAAAGCAGCAGGCAATCCTGCAGACCGAACCGACAAATATGGGACGAGACAGGAATGTTGGGCTTTAGTAACAAGGGTTGTTTTTTTTTAATAGAGAAGATCTTACACTTTTTGGTTTAAATGGAGCATAAAGCTCTTGATGCTAGAGCAATTAGAAGCAAACAGAGGTTGTTCAGAGAGATAATTTTAAGTTGTTTTTCCTTATCAGAATAATCTTTTATGTAACTCCTTACCTTAAAATTAATGATCCTTCAATGACCACTCATTTCCCACATCATCCAAAATCATCAGAATAGCATGATATGACCCTAACCTACATCTCTAGCCTTAGCCATTGCTATCTAATTTCTGGCTTGGCATAATAAAAAACTTCAATAACATTTTTAAAAAGCTATCATTTTAACTGTCATCTCACAAATGTCTGCCACTGACAATAATTCAATTTAACTATTTTTTCTTTGCCTGTTAAGTGGAAAGCAATGTACTAGGTACTGTAAAGATATGGTTTTCCAAGACCTTTTACAGCACTCCAGAGCAACAACTATATTTTTATTTTGTGACCTACCCATATATATATATATATATATATACTAAAACCAAAGTCTGACAAAAGATATATATCATTACTACAAGTGATGCAATATTTTTTATTCTATTTTATTCCATTTTTACTTAAAAAAATAAAAAGGTGATCAACCTACTTCACTTGGCTGTGAACCAAAGTTTGAAGAATAATGTTACATAGCTATGCTAACATGGTCAAGCCACTAGCCAAGTGTGGCTATTCAGCACTTGCAATGTGGCTAGTGCAATTGAAGAACTAATTTTTAATTTTAAACACAACTTTATTTTTTTGCTAGAACTACAATTCACTTTAGCTGCTGCACTGGGTAAGAAAGATTTTGTGTGCATGTTGCAGTATGTGTTGCTTTTTGTATTATAACCTATCACTGATTATCTTGGTGTCAGTAAACTACCTCATTTCTAAATATTTTTTTACATAATGACATAACACTGTAATTTTCTTATTTGAATGTTTTATGGAGAAAAGAGTAAGAGACTGGAAGAAAATATGTTGCAAATTTCACAATGAATGGCAATTGCAATTTGCTGCAGGAGAGCAATGTCTGTTGTGTAAAAAAAATTTAAGGTAAGTGGGTAATATTAAGAGATATGTTCAACAAATACACAGTGAATTTTATAAGAACTTCCACAGAAGTGAAGTAAAAGATCTTCAATTAAGGCCCAAACAATTGTCTGTAGAATATAAGACCTTTCAAATAATATTAAAGATGTGTCAATTCCAAGCTTGAAAAATTGCAGGTACTTATTTTTAACTTTTTAAAAAATTTACTGATTTTTAGAGAAAGGAAGGGGGAGAGAGAGAGAAGGGAAGAGAGAGGAAGAGAGAGATGAAGCGAGAGGAGAAGAGAGAGAGAGAAATGATTTGCTGTTCCACATTTTTATGCATTCATTGGTTGCTTCTTGTATGTGTTCTGATCAGAGATCAAACCTGCAACCTTGTTGTATTGGGATGACACTCCAACCAACTGAACTACCTGGCCAGGGCCTAACCCTTATTTTTATTTTTATTTTTAAATAAAATAATGCAATATGGGAGACACTGCTCAGTTGTTAATTTAATAAAATTTAAGTAGAGACCAAGTATTTCTAATGAAAATTTAGCATCTGAATTTATATGAGCTGTAAGTGTAAATACACACAAGATCCCAAAGATTTTGTATGAATAAAAGAATGTAAAATATGGACTACAGGTTAAAATACTATTTTAGATATAACAGGTTAAGTAAAATATGCTACTAAATTCATCTTTAGCTGTTTATTCTACCTTTTTAATGAAGCTACTAGAAAATTTTAAATGCTCTATTATGTGGCTCATATTTTAATTCTACTAGATGATATTACTACACAGGGCACGAAGACACAGTTGTTGACCACAAGGAACTTACTCACCATCTGGTGGGAGAGGAACACTAGAAGAGAAAGAACCGACCAGAGAGAGTTGGCAATGAATCACTAGAGACGGGAGGGAAAAGTTCAAGACCAAAGTTCTAATGGCCCAACTGCAAACCGCGATCACCAACTGATGGTCTATAAAACTAAAGAATTGATTCCAGCACTGCAGCAGTGAAGCCTAATTTAAGGGCAGCATTTAATTTAATTACATTTCAATTATAGCAATAAAGTATGATCCTGCTGAAGGTATATAGGCATTATTTATCTTATTTGTTTTGCCTAGCATTGTTTACTTTAATATGTATTAAGAAATACAGAATGAATAAAAAGAATTTACTTATAGGAAAAAATATAATAAACACATAAAACCCACGATCTCACAGGTACTATTATGTGATATGGTTCCTCATAAAACAAAATTATTTAAATAAAAGATATGATTTTTAAAACATTAAGTAAGTAATAATATAGGTGGTATATAGAGAAGGCAAAAATTATAGAGGTTTTTGTTTGGGGCAGTTTTTTAAGATAGATTTCTGATAGGAAGGTATTTAATCAGGTTTTTATCAATTATTTACAACCTGATTAATAGGTTACTGAAAAATTAGTATTTTAAATGATCTCAAATAAAGGTGGAATTCTGTTGAAGGTGCTAGTCAAAACCACTCGGTGATTCTCAGAATATTTACCTTAACAGTCTGCAAAAGCTCCGCCGATAACTCAGTCGCTGGCTCGCTGCAGCGACACTGGGAGGAAGAGGCGGCCGCGGTGGGAAATAAACTAGAGTTGCAGAAAACAGCAAGCAGACCACTCCGAATTCTGGGAGGGGGGGAAAGGAAAATGTTAACCAGGCAACACAAAAAATTCAATATTTCAAGTATTATTTATCTAACAAATATTTATTGAGCATCAACTAAGCACCAGGCATACAAATATAAACAAAAATATAGTACCTAACCAAAAATAGCTCAGTCTTGTGAGAAAGATAATATATAGAGATATAAATTTCAGCAGGTCATTGGTAAGAACTCATACTATAAGCATAAAGTATGGTGATAGATACAACAGACAAAAAGATTGAGGTGGTAAACAAATGTTACTCTATGGAGAAAAACACATTAAAATCCACAGCACTGAACTGTAAGAGATCCTGAAATAGGTCTAGGATGACTGTCTAATAAGCATGATCCTCGAAAATAAAGAACTCACTAGTAAAAGCAGGACAGGAGGGGTCTGTTTGATCAACAATAGGGTATTCTGATGTAGGACAGACTCAATTTACAGGCTATATGGGAATTTGAACAGAACAGGGAAGCAGACAAAGTAAGAAACCGAGAGACAGAGAGCAAAACTTATTAACACAAGACTAGCTAATGCAGAATAGTAAACAATTGGAACTAAAATGAATATCCCAACAATCTCAGTTTGGCAGCACCATAGGAGAGAGAGTTCCTAGGTATTCTGATTATCCCCTCCAGAGTTCTGTCCCCTAGAAGTCCCGCTTTTTGTTAACTGTGCCTAATGTAGTAGAAAAGTTGGGAAGCCTTGTAGAATCGACCTGCCTATGCTATCAACTTTGGAACTTGAATGAATCACTTCCTTTTTCTGGGCCAATAAAGGGATTGAATTAAGTGATTTCAAGAGGCACTTTCGGCAGGATAATTCCAATACACAGGCTAAAAAAGTACAACGTCCTATGAGACATTCAATCACAATGTCTTTATTCTTCGTCAATCTGAGAAGCAACAAAAGTTAATGAATTGTTTTACTTTACAGTTATTTATTAGTAACAGTGAATGAGCATCTTCCACATGCCTACTGGTCCTTTGTAGTTCTTCTGTGGTTGCCTTGTTCATAATCTTGCCCATCTTCCTACTGGCATTTTTGTATAGACAGTTTGAGGTATAATTCATATAACATACAATTCATACATTTAAACACACAATTCAATGTTTTTTTGTATATCCACAACTGTGCAACTATCACCTAAACAATTATAGAATTTCTGCATCATCCCAGAAAGAAACTCTATACTCATTACCTGTACAAATATCCCAGCCGTAGGTTACCATTGACCTACTTAAGTATCTATGGATTTGAGTATGACGGACATTTCTTATAAATGGAATCATATATGTTTTTTTGTGACTGGCTTCTCTCACTTGGCATGTTTCCAAGGTTCATCCATGTTGGAGCATATATCAGTACTTTATTCTTTTTTTGCCAAATAATATTCTACTGAATGGAATATACCACATTTTCCACTTTTCCTGTTGTTAGCTTAATTGTTGTTTATTTAGAAGAATAGGGCAGAGGGACAAAAAGGTGTGAGGTGGAATTAATTCAAATACAAGCAATTTGCAGAGCAAGCCCATCAGATGTAGTTCCCCTGCTTTCGGTGCCAGTATGGTTTGTTCTTGTGGCTTCTCAGGAGGGTGTGGGCCATTGTACACAGGTTTTCACAGTGGGCTTAGAACATGAGCATAAATCTTGCAGAAATATCACAAGGGCCCTTCCAAAGTTATCCCTCCTGTGGAGGCAGGATAGATGAGCTTCCGTGTCCTTCTCAAAGGTGCGTGAGTTCTTCCCAAGCAGGCACCTCACCCCTGAGCACCTGGTCCTGTTCCCAGACTTGCCTGGGGCCTGGCAGATCTTGAGTGAGCACAGAGGTGTCTGGGAACTGGGAGGACACTTGCAAAGTGCTTCCAGAAGTTCAGTTGGGAGGGTGGGACCTAAACTCCTAGCGAGTAGGAAAGGAGGTTACTCAACCTAGTTATAAAACAAACACAGTGACTTTTCCTCAGGACGAAGAATACCCAGAGCACCAGTCAGCAGCTGGGGAGAGTGAAAAGAAGGGCCAGAAAACTCGAGCATCAACCCCGAGTCCTCTTCCTCCCTTCCACTGTTAAATTCGTTCCAAACACTTCTGAGGAGAGGGAGCAGAATAAAGACTTGGACAAGTTGCACAAGCATTTAGTGCCTGGTTTCCCCATCTGTGTGTCACAGGCTTTTAAAAATATATATTTTAATGTGCTTATTGATTTGAGAGAGAGAGAGAGAGAGAGAGAGAGAGAGAGAGAGAAGGAAGAGAAAGAGAAATGTCTATTGGTTGCCTCTCATAAGCATTAACTAGGGACTGAATTTGTAACCTAGGTATGTGCCCTGACCAGGAACTGAACTCCCAACCTTTCTGTGTACGGGATGGTGTGCCAACCAACTGGGCTGTCGCCCAGCAAGGATTGTCACAAGGCTTTTGACTCCCTATACTGCCCACGAGGGAACTTTTAGCACTGGCTGATGCCCATCCAGGCGGCTGGGGCCAAGGTCAGGCATTTGGGTTGTTTCTGCTTTTAGGCTGTTATGAATAATGCTGCTATGAACATCCATGTACAAATTCTTGCATAGATAGATGTGCTTTCATTTCACTTGGGTATATATCTAGAAATGAAATTGCTGGGTTATATGGCAATTATGTTTAACATTTTGAAGAAATGCCAAAATGTTTCCAAAGTGGCATTTTATCTTGCTACCAGCAACGCATAAGGGTTCCAATGTATAATCTCTGCACTCTCTCACCAACACTTATTTTCCATTTTATTGATTATAGCCATTCTACTGGGTTTGAAGCTTATCTATTATGGATTTCATTTGCATTTCCCTAATGACCAAAAACAGTAAGCACCTTTTTCATGTGCTTATTGGCCATTTGTATATCTTCTTTGAAGAAATGTCTATTCTGTTCTTTGCCCACTTTTCATTTGGGTTGTTTGTCTTTCTATTACTAAATTGTAGGGTTTTTTTTAAGATTTTATTTTTAGAGAGAGGGAGAGAAACATCAATGTGTGGTTGCCTCTCACGTGGCCCCCAGGGGGACCTAGCCCACAACCCAGGCATGTGCCCTGACTGGGAATCAGACTGGCGACCCTTTGGTTTGCAGCCTGTGCTCAATCTACTGAACTAAACCAGCCAGGCAGAATTGTAAATTTTTATAAATATATTCTGGATTCAAGTCCCTTATCAGATATATAATGTGCAACTATTTTCTCCCACTCTGTGGTCTTTTTACTTTGTTGATGGTGCTCTTTGAAGTACAAAGGTTTTAATTTTGATATAACCCAATTTACATATTTTTCTTTTGTCGTTTGTACTTGTAGTGTCCTTTATGAAAAGGCTTTGCCTATAACAAGTCATGGAGATTTGCCCCTATGTTTTCTTCTAAGAGTTCATAGTTTTAGCTTTCACATTTAAGTTTACAATCCATTTTGAGTTCATTTTGTGTATGGTGTAACGAAGTGGTTAGAATGGATTCTTCTGCATGTGGACATCCAGCTATTCCAGTACTACTTACTGAGAAGACTATTTTTCCCCCATTGAATTGTCTTAGCACCTTTGTGCTAATTGCAATTGACGATAAATGCAATAGTTTATTTTTCGGAATCTCACTTCTGCTCCATTGATTTTTATGTTTATCCTTATGCCAGTACAATGCTGTTTTGATTAGTGTAGCTTTGTAGTAACTTTTGAAATTGCAAAGTGTGAGTTTTCCAACTTTGTTCTTTTTCAAGGTTGTTTTGGCTATTTTGGGTCCCTTGCATTTCTATGTAAGTTTCAGAATTAGCTTGACAATTTCTGCAACAAAGGAAGCCAAATATTAAGTGGAATTGCTCTGAATTTGTGGATAAATTTGGGGATATTAGCATCTTCACAATATTAAAGTTTCCATCACTTAAACCTGGGATGTCTTTCCATTTCTCTAGGTCTTCTTTAATTTCTTCCAACAGTGTTTCATAGTCTTCAGAGAACAAGTTTTATACCTATTTTGTTAAACTTATTCCTAAATATTTTACTCTTTTTAAGGCTACTATAAATTACATCATTTTCCTTATTTCATGTTTGGATGGCTCTTTGCTAATGTATAAAAATTCAATTGATTTTGATACATTAATTTTGCATCCTAAAACGTTTTTTTAGGATAAACTTGTTCATTCTTACTAAATTTGTTTTTATTTTAATTTCATTGTTTTTCTATTACAGTTGCCCCAATTCCCGCCTCCCCTGCAGTGGCCCCACAGTCACTCCTCACCCTGTTGTCCATGCCCATGGGTCATCCATACATGTTCCTGGACCCTCCCCCTTTTCCCCCTTCTCCCCCTCCCACCTTCCCTCTGGTCACCGTCAGTCTGTTCCTTGTTTCCAGGCCTCTGGTTCCATTTTGCTCATTTGTTTTGTTAATTAGGGTCCTGTTTTCATTTTTGTTTTTAAATATTTTATATTTTTAGGAAGAAGGGAAGAGAGGGAGAGAAGCATTGATATGAGAGAGAAACATGGATCTGTTGCCTCTTGTATGCACCCCAACCAGGAACCAAACCCACAACCCAACCGTGTGCTCTGACTGTGGGAATGGAACCAGTGACCTTTAACATTGTGGGACAATGCCCCACCAACTGAGCCACATGGTCAGGGCCTAAACTTCTTTTTTAGATCTAATATGTTTTTTAATGGATTACAGACAAAATTCTATATTCAAGATCATGCCATTTTCGACTGAGATAGCCTTACTTCTTCCTTTCCAATTCAAAATGCCTTTTATTTCATTTTCTTAGTTAGTGATCCTGGCTAGAACCTCCAGTGTAATGTTAAGTAGATATGGCAAAGAGTGGACATCCTTGTCTTGTTCCTGATCTCAGGGGGTGGGGAGTAATGCATTCAACCTTTGACCAATAACCATGATTTTATTTGTGGATTTTTCATGTATGTCCTTTATTAGGTTGAGGAAGCTCATGTCTTTATTTCTGATTTTCTTTTATCTTGAAATGGTGTAGGATTTGTCAAATGCTTTTTTTCTCATCTATTAAGATAATCACGTGGTTTTTTCTCCTTTACTCAATTGATATGGCATATCACATCAGTGAGTTTTGAATGTTCAGTCAACTTTGCATTACAGGAATAAATCCTGTATGATTATGGTGTGTAATCCTTTTTGTATGTTGCTGGATTTGGTTTGCCAGTATTTTTTAAGGACTGTGGATCTCTATTCCTCAGAGATACTGGTCTATTGGTCTGTAGTTTACTTATGATGCCTTTGTCTGGAATAGTTTGGTTTAAGATTCATTAATGTTTTAAGGTAGCAGTTCTAGCAAATATTTTGAATGGAATGAAGGTTTATGGGACAATATTTCAGGAATGCAGACTGGCGAATATAAAAGCAATGAAGAAATAACTGTGAAGCTTTGAGTAGGGTTATCTGTTATAGCAAAAAGTGCCTAAAATGCAGTCATTTAAAGACTCAGTCACTGTTTAAATGTTCAATTAAAAAAATGATATAACCAAAATAAAATTTAAAATTTGTTTTAACTGCTTGAAGTTTGATTTACTTACTTACTTTTACATTTCAATATTTTTTTCTTTAAAAGGAGTAAGGTGTCTACAGGAGGGTTAAATAATTTATGTACTGCTACTACTCCTGATTTCACTTTTATTTCCTCCAAACCGTATTCTGAAATATAAATCTCGTCATGTAACTCTCAGCGTAAAATTCTTTAGAGTACAGCCACTGCCCACAAAGCTGTGAACTTCAAACCTTTCAGCCCTGATGAGAAGGTTTGCACGGCCTGGCTTACCTCTCTAGCTTCATCTATCACTACTCTCACCAGATGTAAGCCACTCTGGGCTTCAGACTGCTTCAATGCAACAGGCTTTCTCCTCTTACCAGGCTTCTCCTCCAAGATACAGGTTCTCTCTGCCTAATACATTCTTCCTCCTGACCTTTGTACTTGGCTAACTCTGCCATCTCTCAGGTCCCAACTTAGCTGCTCTATCTCCAGGAAACTGTACTTGAGCTCCAAAATCTGGTTAGGTGCGCCACCTCTGAGCACTTAGAGCAACTGTAGGCCTTTGGCAATAGCACTTACCACCCTGTTTTACAGCCGTGTGTTTACCTGTTTGTATCCTTTGGGACATTGTTAAGTCCTATGAGGACAGGAACCCGGTTACCTCAGTGCCTAGCGCAGTGACAGATCCACAGGAGGTCAAAATATATTTGTTAAGGCAGTTACTGAATAAATAGATTAATACAAAGTTTATTATAATCTGGTTCCTTATCTTTCCAGCCTTATGTTATGCCACTTGCCACCTACATCCAAACACACAAATCCACCCTAACACAGCCTTACCAAATTACATGCAGATCCCAAGACATATTGAGCTCTCTCCAGTTTCTCTGCCTTTGCGGTTGCTGTTGCTTCTGTGCACGACACTCTAACTCACTTAAACATTTAGTGAACTCCTATGAAATTCTTAATTTTATTTATCACAATCTTGGTGAAACCTTCCCCGACTCCTTAAATTCTCTCCAAACTCAGGCTGTTTAGGCCTTCCAAACTCTGTAAATGTCTATTTGTATTATAATGATCTCATTAGTGATCTTACCAATTTCTGGTGCTTGGCACAGTGCTTGGTCTATAGTCAACACATAAAAACATTTCTGAATGCAGAAGGAAATAATAAACAGGTGTATGGGGAAGGGAATGTATTTAGGGAGATCTGTAAGAGACTGTAATGTAAGAGTAGACTATGGCTCTGGAAATAAAGAAAAAGGATCTAAGGTTTCAGATGGATCATTATCCCTTATTCATAGACTAAACATACAGAGAGTAGAAAATGAAGGAAAGAATAAATTGTGGGTGACATGGGTTTATTAGATTAGAGAACATGGCTAATAAAGGGGACACTGCAAGGGAGAAAATGGTTTAACACCCACCAATAGGTGCTTAACTAATGTTTACTGTTGATAGTGCTGTTTAGTTTTATATACTGGTCAGATATCTAGAAAAGCATTAGACAATATGTTACCAGAACTTAACTGTAAGTGGATGGGAAAAGGAAAGTCACGAAATAACCTTCCATGCAGCAATAATACATTTGAAACTTAATAACTTCCTAGAAAGGTTAAGTTTCAAATGGGCATATTATACAACAAAGTACATACATACATACATATGTGTATATTAATTAGTCCTGTTAAGTATTTCATCAGAAGTGATCTAGTACAGAAAAGTAGAGTGAAGATGCTGGAATAAAAGATAAAATATAACAGGAGGAAAACAAACTTCAAAAATACCTGCGTATAATACAATCTCTATACGATCTTGAATGTGGGCCTTGCTATTCTCTGAAGCAAGAAGAGGCGACGTCCCATTGGGAGCTGGAACAAGAAGTGGTCCGACCAAAAATGCACATGCTCCACCAAGATAGCTGAGCATTGATGCAATAGCTGTGGCAGTGGCCCGCTCATCTGCAGAAAACCACGTTGTGGAGAGAAATGGAGCTGCATTCGTTACCGTTGGACCTGCCAGTCCATTTAAAAGCTGTCCTCCATGGATCAGTCTGGAATTAAACAAATTAAAATGGTATGAGGGAGGCGAAGCGGGCATTTTCTAAACAAAAAGATAGTAGCCAAATAGCAGTAAACTAGGGCAGTAAGAATACATATCCCACACCTGAAGGGTAAAGAATGTTGACTCTCTCTGAGGGAGATTAACTACAGTAATAGTTACCCCTTATTCATTTCACAGATATTTACTGAAGCATATGATCTGTACAACATGCTTCCAAATAACCTCGCTTCATTTGTTTTAACAACAGTATGTGGGAGCTATTATTGTCCCCATTTATTGAGATGTGAGACCTTCACTGAGAAAGAATAAGAAACTTGCCCAAGTGCTAACAGGCAAAGCAGATTTAAGTCTGACTCCAAAATCCATTCTCATAAAGAGACCTAGCAAGTGCCACCAGCCTATAAGTAATACAGTTGGGGTCCACATTTCATGCCTACAAAGAAAGAGAGAAAGAAAGAAAAGAAAGAAAAAGGTTATTGGTGGAGGAATCAGATGACCTGGCTTGCAACTAACTAGTTGAATGGCACTGGGTAAAGCATCTTTTTGGGATTCTATTTCTTCTCCCACAAAATGAGATTAAGTTACATAAGCATGTACTAAGCATCTGTTATGTTAAGGTACAGTAATCACAGGATCACTCGGTCCCTTCTGGCTCTAGGTCCCCGACTGGCATTAACTGTAAGGGTTGGTGAAGAGCAGTTTCTGGCTGCCATTCCACTTGTTCTCTTGCCCATCTTTTCTCAGTATTCTGTCCAGTGATTCATCCTGTTCCGTGCTGACCAAACGCTTTCCCCGCATTTCCTGCTCCATGCCCAACACACACATTCACATTCATGAGTAGTCTTGAAGAAGAAAAGAAGCCAAAGCCCAAAAATCATAGAGAGAAAAGGGAGGTGACTCCACCTCTTCTGCCTTACAGGTAAAGGGAAGGGCAGGGACAGAATACACAACATACATGATAATTACTTTTTTTTGGCTTATTTTGCTTTTTAAACACTGTGTGAGTGTTACATTCTCTTTTTAAACAACTGCCACCTTATGCTACCTATTTAAAGGTTTTTCTAATATGGAAGGAATAAACAAGCCTATGAGAGAGAGGTAGGGCCCCAGCGTAGAAGCATAAGTGGGAAGCAAAATATGTTAATTAGGCCCGCTCACATCTTTGTAAATGCTGGGAAACTTATTTAAAGGCAAAACAGCTCCAAGTGTCATTACTAAATAAAGACAACTAAAGACATTTGAAACTCTTCTTGTTTTCTAGATGACAAAAGAACTATTTTCTACATGACAAAAATAATTTAAAGTGTTTGTAAACCAAGTACCTCCCCCGAAAGTCAGTGAATCCCCAGCTGTCACACAGCAATTTCACCATAAAAATATTCTTGAAGCAATGTCATTAAGTGGTTTACTCATGACTCCCCTAACCATGACTTGCGATGGCGTAACACGCAGACAGTGAGCAATGGACTGCAGAAGTAGCTGCTTTGATGTGCAGTGCGGTTAATGAAGTGTTCCTGAAAGACTCATCTCATCTAGAAAGAGAAGGGTTGGAATGGGTACACTTATTATGCCTAAGACTGTTAAGAGTAGAAGGAGAACATGGAAGAAACAACCTATCAAAAGACAAAGCCGAACAAAAACAGGACACAACAGTACGAATCCTGATAGTTAAGGTTAAAACTCAAATTGTTGCCATGGCTTAACATTTGGTACCCACTCTGCAGAATCAGGAATAGACTATTTTTCAAATAGCAAACCCAGCACTCAGAACATGTGAGCTTATAATAATGGAAGGATCATTCGAGTCCAGTTTACTCAAGTCTCAGATCAGAGTATTTCTCTCCGCAATGTGGTACACTAGGGAAAGTAGAAACTAAAGCAGGTACGATACCAGGGGCATTTCTAAGTCACTGAACTTGGGGGGTAAAACTAGAACACATGTATTATCATACTGAAAAGTCATCTCAGGAACTAAAACATGCTGATTTGGAACTTAAAATTGCTCTAATTTAAATAATTATGTGCTTTTTGTATTAAAAGTCATCATACACAAGCACTCTCTTCACAAATGAGCTTATCAGGAAAACTGGGACCTGTAGGATCTTGGACTTACCCTGTGAATTCACAGGTAACCTGGCAGGGAAACCCAGTCTTGTCTTGCCAGCATCTTTAAGTTTTTCCACACATAGTCCCGCTCCTTCTCACACTTGTACCCCTGAGTCCTATCCTGGCAGTCACTAGTATACCTGGTGATAAGCACCTGCTGTCCTGGTGAACATAATTTAACACCAACCTGTATTAACAAGATTTTTACGTCTGTCCGACACTAGTTTCTGTCACCTACCATTAACTACTTCTATTTTATCATTGTTTGTAAAAATATATTTGAAAATAAAATTCAGTTCGGGACTTTTGGCCAATATGAAGATGTAGGTAGATACACTGTGCCTCCTCGCACAACCAAAAGAAAGACAACAAATTTTAAAACGAAAACAACCAGAACTACCAGAAAATCGAACTGTATGAATTGACAACCATGGAGTTAAAGAAGAAACATTCATCCGGACTGGTAGGAGGGGTGGAGATGGGCAGCCAGGGCAGAGAGGACTCACGACAAGGGCGGCTTGTAGACAGGGTGAGGTGACTGCTGGCAGAGTGGGCGGTCCGACATTTGCGTGTGGATAACCTGGGAGGAACAACTGGGGAGTGAGACAGAACACACAACCCAGGGCTCCCGTGCAGGGAAATAAAGCCTCAAAGCCTCTGACTGAAAACTCCTGTGGGGGGTTGAGGCAGTGGGAGAAACTCCCAGCCTCACAGGAGAGTTCCTTAGGGTCCTAGAATGCACACAAGCCCACCCACATGGGAATCAGCACCAGAAGTGCCCAGTTTGCTTGTGGGTAGCGGGGGGAGTGACCAAAAGCTTGCCAGGAGCCCAACAAGAGGCCTGGTCCCCTTTTGGATCACTTCCCCTCATTGAGCACCACAACACAGCAACATGGGTTTCCTCGCCCTGGCAAATACCTAAGGCTTTGTCCATTACTACATAAGAGCCACGCTGAGAAAAAAAATGGCCCAAATAAAAGAACAGATCAGAGCTCTAGAAAAAAATACAACTAAGTGATGAAGAGCTAGCCAACCTATCAGATGTAGAATTCAAAACACTGGTAATCAGGATGCTCACAGAAATGGTTGAGCAGGGTTGTAAAATAGAGGAAAAAAATGAAGGATATGAGAAGAGAAGTAAAGGAAAATGCACAGGAAACCAATTGTGAAAGGAAGGAAACCAGGACTCAAATCAAAAGTTTGGACCAGAAGAAAGAAATAAATATTCGGCCAGAACAGAATGAAGAAATAAGCATTCAACAGTATAAAGAGAGGCTTAGGAGCCTAGGGGACAATTTTAAACTTCCCAGCGTCTGAATCATACAGGTGATTCAGATGAAGGGGAGAGGAAGGAGGAGAAGGAGAAGAGGGGGAGCAAGAAATTAAAAACTTATTTGAATAATGAATTTATCCAGACTTATTTGAATAACTTATTCAAATAAGAATTTGAATAACAAATAAATAATAAACAAACAACTTCTTCAATCTGGCAAGGGAAATAGACTCCCAGGAAGCTCAGAGAGTCCCAAAGAAGTTGGACCCAAGGAAACACACACCAAGGCACATCACAATTACATTACCCAAGATTAAAGAATAGGAGAGAATCTTAAAAGCAGCAAGAAAAAAGAAAATAGTTACTTATAAAGGAGTTCCCATAAGACTATCAGCTAATTTCTCAAAAGAAATTTTGCAGGCAAGAAGGGGCTAGAAAGAAATATGTCAAGTCATGAAAGGCAAGGACCTACATCCAAGATGACTCTATCCAGCAAAGCTTTCATTTAAAATGGAAGGGCAGATAAAGTGCTTCTCAGATAAGGTCAAGTTCAAGGAGTTCATCATCACCAAGCCCTTATTATATGAAATGTTAAGGGGACTTATCTAAGAAAAAAGAATATAAAAAATATAAACAGTAAAATGACTACAAACTCACATTTATTAACAACTGCACCTAAAACAAAAAACAAACTAAGCAAACAACTAGAACAGGAACAGAATCACAGAAATGGACATCACATGGAGGGCTATCAGAGGGGAGTGGGGAGAGGGGGAAAGCGTACACAGAATAAGTAGCATAAATAAGTAGGTAGAAAATAGGCAGGGGGAGGTTAAGAACAGTATAGGAAATGCAGAAGTTAAGAACTTATATGTATGACCCATGGACCTGAACTAATGAGGGGGAATGTGAGTGGGAGAGAGTACGCAACGCAGAGGGGGATAAAGATGGGAAAATGGGACAACTGTAATAGCATGACCAAGAAAATACATTTAAAAAATTAAAAAATCTCACTTATCTAACACATGCATCGTCGCATCAGTTCCAGAGTTTAAATTTAGCAGTATGAAAATAAGGTGTTTTAACAAATATTTTGAAAAAAAAAAGTCTTTAAAAAAGACACTGAGGGTGGTCTAAGTGAGGCCAACACTTCAGGGCTGTCTCAAGCACAGTGGACTTGGGGAAGGTGGGCAGAAGTTAAGAGTGTGAGAAGGCGTTTTGTCTCCTGGGCAATAAGCTCTGGAGCAGAAAGGGAGCCCTCTGGAAACTGACTAATTAATTCAAGGGGTCTAACTCTTTTAAAAAATTTATTTATTGATTTGAGGAAGATGGGGCGGGGGAAGGAGAGAGGAAGAAGGGGAGGGGTGTACAGGAGGGAGGGCAGGAGAGAGAGAGAAAGGGAAAGAGAAGGAAACATCAATTTGTCGTTCCACTTATTTGTGCACTCATTGGTTGATTCTTGTATGTTCAACACCAGCAATCGAACCCACGACCTTGGTGTATTGGGACAATGCTCCATCCAACTGGGCTACCTGGCCAGGCCCAAGGGGTCTTACTCTTGCTTCCTCATTTGAAACTTCGGGTCTGATAAAGATGGTGTATACTCACAG